CTCTTACCTTTTGTATTTAATTATATATTAATTATTATAAATATGTATTATTTGTAAAATTTTATATATTTTTGATTTGTATTTTATTTTTTATATATGGTCTACCAAAATAATCATATCTTAACGATCTCCGATTTGACATCCATATTGCACATGTAAAATAAAAAATAATTTTATCTATATCAATAAATAAAATCAATTTTTTTATCGATAAACATCTTATAACAATATAAATTATTTTATAAAAATAATAAAAATCTACTTCATTAATACACCATAAAATAATCATTTTATTGTTTTTTCTATAGATTTTGGATAAAATTACATAACAGAAATTTTAAGAAATATTACAAAATATTATTTCTCAATTTAAATAGATTATATAAAAAATTGAATGTTGTTATGTTATTTAAAATAGTAAATATAAAATAATACCATAATTAAATATAATAAAATAATTTTGTGTTTTCATAAAGTTAGAAAATAATACATTTCTATGTAAATTCAAAATTATTAATTATATGAATTTAAAATACTTGAAAATTTAATAAATGTGAGACACTGACTCTATAAATATAAATATCGTCACAATACAATAAAATTTGTTTTGTTTAAAAAAAAACGAATCAAATATATGAAGTTGTAAATAATATCAATTTTATACATATATAATTTTAAAAATATAATTAAAAGTATATTTTTTTGTAATTTAGTGTAAAAATACGAGCACCATTTCAATTAATTATAACTTTGTTAGTTATTTATTGTTGTTGCATAGTCACATACATAATTTCACAATAAAAATATAAATAATTTTAATTTTTATTGTAAAAATATTAATATATTTAAATACCTGTGTAATACACGGGTATTGTACTAGCAAATAAATAACTCCAATCTATCACTCTTACTTAGGGCTGTAAATGAGCTAGTAATCGAGCTGGGATCGACTCGTTTATCAATATTAACAGTCGAGATTGAGCATTATGGAACTGAACTCAAGCCTTAACGAGGCTAACCATACAAAAGTATATAAGTATTATCTTCTAAATATAAATATATTTTTTTGTTTTATATTCATATTTAATATATTTATTTATATCAAATAAATAAATTTTATATTTTGTATAATATATTAAATTATATATAATCATTATCATCAAATCGAATACTCGATAATTTCGAATCGAATTTGCGCATATGCGGATTCGGATTTGAATAAATTTTGAATATTAAACACTATTCTTAGTGGAATTCGAAATTTTACGAATTCAAATCACAAATACCGAATTCGACTCATGAATTAATTGAAGGCAGTCTGCGCGACTACTTGAGCTTAGTGCTTATCCATATCCTAATTACTTCCTAGTCACATTTATATTCTTAAGATTCTTTCTTATCCTTGCCTCCTACTGGTTAAGGTCGTGACTCCTCACAGGTTGTCTATCATATTTTCTGGTAGCCGAGGTCGAGGTGTTAGATCCTTGGTTACTCAGGTTCAGGGACGGATGCAAATGTAACTTAGGGGGGCCATTGTTCCCCCCAAACTTTTTTTGTTTTATTAGTACTATGTATGTATAATATATAATATTATATATATTTAAGTATTTTGCCGCTTTTAAAATAAATATTAAAATAAATAAATCTCTCTTTGTTGAGAGTTTCACACGTGCACGCCTCTTTCTTTATTTTGCTTTAATAAGTTATATAATATAATAAACTAAGTTAATTAAGTATTCTTTATGCCATTAATTAATAAATTATTAAAGTAAACATAATAAAAGATTACAAAAAGTAAAAGTTGGGTTTCTGAACACTACGGATTAGACGAGGAGTCGAGTGAAGAGGCAGACAAACGAAAAAAATTACAGATTTGAGCATTTATTGAATAATTATATTTGTAAGTACTTTTATTTGCATCTATGTCTATGATATTATATTTTTGTTCTTTACTTGTGAGTTTTGAACAATTTAGATTTAGGGTTTAATCAAGTTGAATGGATGAACAATCTGGATTTTGATAATTCGGCCAGGAATATGAAATTTTCAGGCATAGTTAATAGTTTGAACAACATGCGATTAGTTTGATATTAGAATATCTATTTTTGCTCTTTAAACTGAATAATATGACAATGGTGCTCAAGACATATTATGTCCTTCATCTTTTTTTTTTTTATTAAAAAAAAGACATTTCTCAAATATTTCTCATCTTAATCAAATGCCATACATTTGAAGAAGTATTCAATTGCTTGGGCCTAGACAAGTTTATGCATCAGTGCATTGCATCTGGTTCTTTCCTGAACCTTTCTTTCGGTGTGAACGAGCCTGCAATATTTTGTTGTTGGCTATTGCAAGGAAATAATTAATTATTCTTAGTAAAACTTTTTTGGCATAATGGCAGGAAAATACACGACCTTTACTTGATTGGCCATTTAATCATGACTTTCAAACCTTAGCAAATAAATATACGACCTTTACATTATTGGCAACTTGATAAACGGATTTAACGTCCGTCAACGGAAAGCTGACGTGGGTCTGACTCAGCAAACACAAGTCAAATCATCAGTTTAAACCTTGGCAGTTTAATACACCACCTTTGGTTTTTTGGCAACCCGATACACGAACTTACCCTTTTTTGGCAAAAAGCTGCCACATCATCATTTTATTTTATTTTTAATTTAAATTATTTTAATTTACTTTTATTATTTTTATTTATTTTAATTGTACTTTTACTATTGAAATTATGTTTATAATTTAAATATACAGTGATTACAAACAAAAAACAAATAAAAAATATATTATTTTATTTAATTTTCAATTTCTATATTTTATTTTATTCTAGTTTAATATTTTTTAGGTTTTCTTTTCTTCCTCGATGACAAATTTTTTTTGGACCTTCTTTTATTATCATTTGTGTGGTTTTTTAATACTATTTTATCTTATTTAGTTTCAAATAAATTTTATTTAAGCATTAAATAAATATTTATAATATAAATATTTATAATATAAATATAATATTATTATTTATTTATTTAATTTTCTGAAATTTACTTTTATTATTATTTAACATACTTAAATAAAAAATATACGAATAAACTAAATAAATAAATATATTAAATACATATAATATAAATAATGTAATATTATTTATCTAAATAAATAAGTATATTAGATATTAATTATATGATTTATTGAATTCTATATTATATGTTTTATTATTTATTATTCATTATTTACTATATTAATATTAATTTATTTTTTTATTTATTAATTAAATACTGAATACATTAAATATTAAAAATTAATAAAGTAGAATAAAATAAAATATATAAATTAAATTTAAATAAAATTAAATATTTTTTATTTATTTTTTGTTTGTAATCACTATATATTTTAATTTTAAACATAATTTGGATAATAAAAGTAGAATTAAAATAAATAAAAAGAATAAAAGTAAATTTAATGAATTTAAATAAAAATTAAAATAAAATGATGATGTGGCAGCTTTTTGACAAAAAAGGGTAAGTTCGTGTATCGGGTTGCCAAAAAATAAAAGGTGGTGTATTAAACTGTCAAGGTTTAACTGATGATTTGGCTTCTGTTTGCTGAGTCAGACCCACGTCAGCTTTCCGTTGACGGACGTTAAATCCATGTATCAAGTTGCCAAGAATGTAAAGGTCATGTATTTATTTGCCAAGGTTTGAAAGTCGTGATTAAATGGCCAATCAAGTAAAGGTCGTGTATTTTTTTCGCCATTATGCCAAACTTTTTTTCTTAATTTCAAATTGCAACTTTATGTTTTTTGTTGTTAAATATATGTCTTTATCGAAAATTATTTAGTCCCTCTCAATTCATTTTTCTAGATCTGCCCCTGCTCAGGTTGTCTGACAATTTCAGATAGTGACCCTTAGGTCGCCTATGATTAGGTTGTCCTCATAGCCTAAGGTCGCTAACCTATAGGTTGTCCGATGGTGAGGTTGTTTAGCTACCCCAGCTTGGCGATCCTCGACTTTGAACAACCCGTTCTTCACTCCGGTCGAGCTCCACGTACTTAGAATATTTTTGGTCCACATATATGGCATTAATATGGCTATAACCGCACAATTAATTATTATATTGGACGATTATATATATCGCGGATTTGTGTAACAACAAATTTGATTACAAAATCAAATTTTGTTTGTTGTGCATCTCATACGTACTAGTTAATTATTCAAGTTCTTGGATATAACCTGACACCCTAAATGGATTGGTTGCTAGCAAAATGGTGTTCGATCGATAGTCAAATTAAGACGCAAAAACAATAAATTTGTCTTGGGATATTTCAGAATTTTCATGACACACACACACACACACACACACACATATATAATATATATATATATATATATATATATATATACATATATATATATATATAGGGGCTGGTTCAAATAAAAACTAGTCCTAGTGTGAGAACCGTGAGAACCATATTTGATACTATTTTTAATTGTATATGATGCTATGTTTAATATTAGATGACGCTATCATTTTCACAAATGCTAATATAAATTGTGTTGTTATTTTTAATAAAATTCATCCTGGTTAAAAATAGCACCAAACACAACCAATCATAGCATTACGCACAATTAAAAATAGCGGTTATCACGGTTCTCACAATAAGACTTAGTTCTCATTTGAACCACATCCTATATATATATATATGAGAGAGAGATGATGTAGTTCAAATAAAAACCAAGTCTTAACATAAGAATTGTGAGAACAACTATTTATAATTGATTGTGTTTGGTGTTATTTTTAACCAGAATGCATTTTATTAAAAATAGCAACACAATTTATATTAGAATTTGTGAAAATAATAGTACCATGTAAATAAAAAATAACAGCATACACAATTTTTTTAATATCAATACGTTTCTCACGGTTTCTACACCAGGACTAGTTATATATATCGATTCATGACACATGTTTCGTTAACCTAATCAAGTTCGAAATTCTTTATGCATTCCATTATTGCAGAATTGTTTGATCGTTTCAAGAATGAAAAGAGTGAATTCGAGACGAGCCTTGGAGATGATACAAAAGGATTGTTACAGTTATACGAAGCTTCTTTCCTGTTAATGCGAGGCGAGGATACCTTGGAGCTAGCAAGAGAATTTTCCACCAAATGTCTCAAGGAAAAAATTGAAAATGAGGGTATTGATAGGGGAATATTCATGGATGAACATCTTTCCATATTAGTGCACCAAGCTCTGGAGCTCCCACTTCATTGGAGTGTTCTGAGGCGAAATACAAGATGGTTCATAAATGCCTACGAAATCAAGCCAAATATGAATCTAATTGTGCTTGAACTTGCCAAATTAGACTTCAACATTGTTCAAGCAACTCACCAAGGGGAACTGAAACAACTATCCAGGTTATTAATTTAAACAAATACTAATTCCCAGAAACTTAAAAATGGATAATTAAGCTTGTTAGTAGTTTCCAGTGATATTTTGTTATTTTTTGTTTTCTTTTTTTATTTGTAAACATGCAGTTAGGGGCGTTGTTCTAATTCATTATTTATTTTTATTTTTTTAAGTTTTTCTATTATCTAGATAAATATTATGGCTTTGTTTGTTTTGTTTTCTTGCTTATATGTGTGCATAGGTGGTGGGAGCAAAAACGCCTATCCCAAAAGATGCCATTTGCAAGGGATAGGCTGGTGGAGTGTTAATTCTGGGCCGCTTGTGGGATGTACAATGTAAAAAATGGATATGCAAGAGTTATGAACACCAAAATCAATGCCTTCATAACCATAATTGACGATATGGTTGATGTCTATGCTACATTAGAAGAACTACAACTCTTTTACAATGTCATTCAAAGGTACGCATGATACAAACTCATCACATCTGATATCTATATTGTGTTACTACTTGATCATAATTTTCTAGTTTATACATAAATGCATACCTACTCTTATCAGCTAGATCGTGTTCAAGTGGGACATTGAAGCAATAGGCAAACTCCCGGACTATATGCAAATATGTTTTCTAGCACTCAACAACTTCGTTGATGAGGTGGCATACGATCTTCTTAAAGAAAAGTGGTTTCTCGTCGTACCACATTTGAGAAAATCGGTGACAATTATATTCCCTTAATTTTTTTTCCATACTAATGCTTCATATTCATGATTTTAAAAACACTACCAACTGCGTGCATATGGGTTTCGTTGATGGCAAAATTAAAGTCCCACATTGATTGATTCGACACAATTGGTACAACTTACATGGTAGCATTAAAAACGGGAGGCCCATTTCCCTAATTCAAGGGGGTTGTTTTGGAAGTTTTAGTATCAGACGATCTAAAAGAGTAAAATGTTCATACATATAATAAGTAGAATCACATGACAATGAGTGATAGTGAAAGAAATGAGAATAAATTATAGCGTTGAATGTGATATATCAAACACTTCAGGTACCGGTCAAAAGGAGGTGGCATTCTTTGTAATATTAAGAATTTATTATTTTTCATGAGGGGGTATTTTCGTCAATTCGTAAAATAAGCTGAGACGCTATTGTGCATTTCCATATATATTAATGTGCATTTTGTTGAACACTATTGTGCATTCTATAGCGCGGTAGCATTTTGGTAAATTTATGAACTTTTAAATGTGTGTGCAGGCGGTTGCAATTTTTTAATTAGTATTTTTTAGATGCATTTTCACACGTAATAATGTGCATTTCACTTAACATTAATATACGATTATCAAACTTTTAATAAGTGTAGATTTACCCAAAGACAAAATTGTAATATGTTAAAAATTTTAAAATCACAAATAAGTCTCCAGACATATCTAATTCTCAAAAATACCCTCATTCCAAATAGAGTCCCTCCGCCTCAAGACCACCAACAGCACGCTATCATGCCGGCCGGCAGTGATGCATCTAAATTTGGATTATAATGTATTCTTGTTTCTTTCACTAAAAACTATTTTCACTGTAACTTATCCATATATATATAGAAAATATTGTGGTGGTTTACATTTTCAGATGATCATTATATATTCAAGAAACCGATTGTATTTTACCATTCATCCACTTGCTCATAACTAACATATGCTTCCAACACTTTTGCAGTGGGCAGATTTATGTCGAACATACTTACAAGAGGCGACATGGCACTCCATGGGATACAAACCAAAACTCCAAGAATATATCAACAATGCATGGATTTCAATATCAGCTCCTGTCATACTAACCCATGCCTACTTTTTTGTGACGTATCCTATAGACAATCATGCTATTAAAAGCTTATACGAATATCACAACATAATTCGATGCTCATCCATTATTCTAAGGCTTGCGAATGATCTTGGCACATCTCTTGTTCGTATTACGACTTTTCCCATCTTTTTTTTTTTTAATTGTGTATTTGTGTAATTTTCAATTTGAATTATTAGGATGAGATGAAAAGAGGTGATGTGCCAAAGGCGATTCAGTGTTACATGAATGAAAGTGGTGCAAGTGTGGACGAGTCACAAGACTATGTTAGGTTTCTAATACACGAGACGTGGAAAGAGATGAACGAAGAACGAGAGCCGGCAATTTGTGCATTCCAAAAAGAATTTGTGACGGCTGCAGTTGAGCTTGGGAGAATGGCACAATATGTGTACCAGTATGGAGACAGCCATGGCATGCACTTCCCTCAAATGAAAGAGAGTATTATGAGTTCGTTGTTCGAGCCTGCGAAGTTGTAAACATAATTTTCCTATTTTCTTCATGTCTTTATGTTACCTTTGCCTCTGAAACCTTCTATTTAGTTACATCTTTTAATAAGGAAAGAAAATAAAATTTGATTCATTAAATTCTTCGATACCAATTGAGAAAATTACATCTTCTACATTTAAATTCGTATTCGGTTGTGGTTTATTTTTGTATTTTTTTTTTACATTAAATTTTCATTTTGGGTTTATGAATTATTAGAATATCACTTGGGCAAAATTCATTTTTGGTCCTATAACTTGGCCACAGTACAAAAAACCACCCCTATATTGACCACTTTCAATTTAGGTCATATAACTTGTCAATTTCATCATTTATGGTCCTATTTTATCCGGCCCCGGGATAAAAATTTGACGTGGCATTTTTTTATCCGATGTGGCGCCTCATGTTAAGATAATAAAAAATTGGAGCAGTCACGTGGAAAATAAAATTGCCATATCAGGTATAACTCTTCTTAAAATCGATTTGCCCCAAAATCGACCCCTGTAACCCTAATTGAGAGAAGCTCGACCGAAAGAGAGAGAGAGAGAGAGAAAGAGAGAGCGAACAGCGATGTCTTATGCTTCTTCCTTCTCGACGCCTTCCAATTATTTTTGTGATTGTAACAAGAGAGCTGTAATACGCAGATCACGGACTTCAACAAATCCTGGTAACAAATTTCACGGTTGCAAGTATTGGAAGGATGGAGATTGTACGTTCTTTAGATGGGTGGATGAAGATGTTCCCGAGAGCTCGAACAATCATATTCTGGCCAATGAAATGATTGAGGTCAGGAAGAAGATGTTATTGCTTGAAGCCGAGAACAAAAAAATCAAGGAGATTATTGAACTCCAACTTCAGCATGTGGAGGACATCTATGAAGAATTTTCCAAAATTCGTCAAAAAATCTGGAAGCTCGTTGTGTTTGTTGTTGCAACATGGTTTCTCTTCATTATTTTGATTGTTGTCATGTGGTGAAAGTTGTATGTTTTTTATTGTTGTTATGTGCTACAACAAGGTTGTCAGTTTTTTCTTCATTTTGTGTTGTATGTTTTCCAAGGTTGTTTGTGTTGTTGGTGTTGTGAACACTTTGTGTTGTCTGATGAATGAATAGACACTATGTGTGTCAAACTTTTGTACCAATGTTGTAATGGAGTTGTTGGTCTTGTTAATCTTGTTAGTTTTGTTTATCTTATTTTTGTTTATCTTAAACAGAACAATTTAAGTTCATCTGCAGAACAAGAACATTATAAACAATAAGAGGTGTACTTGTCCATAAGCAGAACCTATAAAATCAAACCATAACCTGAAGTCATAACCAGAACTTGGAACAAAAGTAGCCTGAACTTTGAGTTAATCTCCATAACCATAAAATCAAACCATAAGCAGAACCAGGCAGAACCAAAAATTTTTCACATACATTTCCATAACAAACACAATTCCAGACCAAAAGAACTTGTCCACAACCTGAACCAACTAAACCATCCACACAAAAACCAACCATTCAGTGACAATAACAAAAACACCCTAATCCAGTTAATATCCAAAAACCAACCATCAATCAACAACACCAAAATTCAGTTTCAAAACACAACCAACTTATTTGGTTACATTCTTTCCCTTCTTTTTAGGATCAATAGATGGAACAAGACTACTAATAGAGGTGTACTTTTGGCCACATTCTTTGAATATCTCCTTCAATCTTGAATCTCTCTCAGTTAGACAGCTCTCTTGGCTTGGTATGAAATGACCACTAACAAATGGTACTGGTCCTCTGATGATCACTCATTTAGTGGGATGTCCCATCTGCATTTGTTGGTAAGGAGTTGGGGCAGCTTTGAACCATTATGTTGCAGGGGCAGGGGCAGGGGCAGGTAGAGTAGGAGCAGGTTGAGGAGCAGGTGGAGCAACAGGTGCAGATCGTGTTGCAGGGGCAGATTTATACCACTTTGTTGTAGCAGGAAAAACAGGGGCAGAGGCAAGTGGAGCAACAGGTACAGATTGGTTTATAACCTAACAAGCAAGTTTTGGTTGTGTTAGTTTGTAAAGATGACTATTAATAGTTGAAAGTCAAAGAACCTGAAAGATGACTACTTACATTATTTGTGCTTTGTTGAGTTGACACTCCAACTACTGATATAGGATCAACCACCCTCTTTCTAGTCTGAAAACATGAACAAGTAAGGTCAGTTTGTGTTATTTTGTAAAGATGACTATTAATAGTTGAAACTAAAAGAACCTGAAAGATGACTACTTACTTTGCTTGTGCTTTCTTGTGTTGACACTCCAACTGCTGGGACAGGATCACTCTCCCTCTTTCTAGTCTGAAAAAATGAACAAACTTATATGAATCAACTTTATATAAATGAAAACATGAATCAACTTATACATGAAGACATGAAACAACAATTTATTATACTATTACCTTTAACTTTTCTGGTCTTTGTTGACCTTCAGATTTCAAGAGAAGACATCCTTTCTTATTGTGACCCTCCCTCTGACAGAAGTTGCACTTAACTGTCATTTGTTGCCTCTTCATTGTATTTTCCTTGGTCACAACCCTAGGCTTACCCCTTGGCCTCTTTCTCCTACTAGAAAGAACCTCATCAGGTTCCATTCTCCTAGCCTTTCCTGGCCTTCCTGCTGATCTTCTAACATTTGGTGGCTCAGCTGGAGGATAAGCAGTTGCTGCCCATTCTTTCCTTCAATTAATAGGCATGATTGCAGGCTCATACACCCTCTTGTATGTCTCTGTCTTGTAGCAAGGGTTTACAAAATCTTCAATGCTCCAGCCTTGCAGATTAATTGCACTCAATGCATGAACACAAGGGATTCCAAACAACTCCCATTTTCTGCACCCACAGCTTTGTGCCCTTAGATCCACCTTAAACTGATCACCATTCAGACATTCAACTTGAAAATTATACTCATCAGATTTGAAGGGGATGCATTCAACCAAATTATCAATATGAGCATCTATGATTTCCTGTATCTTGGGACACAATGAAAAGTTCTATTTTTTTGCACATCTATCCCTATTCTGCTGCAATCTCCTCATCAAATACCCCATTATCCACTCAAGCATTGACAGAATTGGTTGTTCCCTGGCCTCAAATATATTGCTGTTGAATGTCTCACAAGCATTGTTAAGAAGTATGTCACACTTAGGAAGTACACTAAAGTGTGACCTACTCCACTCTTGTGGTGGTTTTTTAGACAACCAACTCCAAGCATCTTCACTCAATTGTCTAACTGCACCCATTTTTCTGTGGAACTCATTCACTGTAGTGGTTGTTGCACATCTCCAAACAGCATTCTTAAATGCTACCCCATAATGCCAACATCTCTTAAATTTCCCATCAAATGTCTAACAGAGAACCTGTGATCACAATTTGGAAAAATAGCTTGTGCAGCCTGTATCAATCCTTTTTACTTATCTGAAATGATGGTCCATTCATGCTGATTGACAATCTCCAAATCAATTTTCAAAAGAATAAAAAACCACTCCCAATTGTCAAAATTTTCAACACTAACAACAGCATAAGCCAATGGGAAAAGTGCATTGTTGGGGTCAACCCCAACAACAGTAAGCAAAATTCCCTTATTGGGGCCTTTCAGATGGCAACCATCCACACCAAACACTTTTCTACAACGTGCCTTATATACCAACTTCAATGCATTCAAACAAATATATAATCTATTAAACACACTCTTTCTAGTTTCAGAAATTGTATCCAAAACAACTGTACTACCAGGATTTGTTCTTCTAATCTCCTCACAATAATCCCACAATAATGCATACTGCTCTTTAGGTTCACCTTTTTTATCAGCAATGGCATGCATTTTGGTTCTGTATGCTTGTTGTTTAGAAATGTGAACCCTAAGCTCTCTTGCTGCTTGATTTCTAAATCCCTTAACAGCCCTCTGAGGATCATCTTGAAAAACAACAGCATATTTCCCAGCCAACCAAGTGGATTTTAAATTTTTTACCTTTCCAGTCACTGCACAAGTGTGCCTAAAGTTATGCTTGCTAACCTGAAAGGTCTGCTCATTTTTCACCCTAGCTGCACTAATCTTTCATGAACAGCTACTATCACCACACTTAGCTCTAAGGTCTGTTTCACATTTTTGCTAATTACCACAGTTCTTTTTGCCTTAATGGCACTTGAATGTATAGCTGTCCTAAGCTCAGATTTTGTGGCAAACATCATACCTATCTTGAAGTTTGGTTCATACAAGTCATTAGGATTAAACACATGATACTTATAACTCACTTTGTCCTCATCAGAGCTATCTTCACTATTTAACTCCTCTTGGTATACCACATCTTCATCCCCTGCACTTTCATTTTGTTTTTCAGTTTCATTCACATTTTCAGGTTCATTTTCACTCTGACCAACATCATTATCAACATTCTCATCCAAACAATTGATCATATACTTTTTCATCCCCCATATCATACTCCCAATCATAAAGTTCATCACTGGATTCATCACTTTCAAGACACTCTCCCTTACTACCCTGACCCTCATCTTCATCACAGAAGTCTCCTTTACTACCCTCGCCCAAGCTCTCAGTACCATCTCCCTCATCCCCCTCACCAAAGCTCACAGCACCACCATCTCCCTTAACCCCCTCACCCAAGCTCACAGCACTACCATCTTCCTTAACTCCCTCACCCAAGCTCACAGCACCACCATCTCCCTTAACTCCCTCACCCAAGCTCACAGCACCACCATCTCCCTTACTTCCCTCACTCAGGTCATCCTCAACCTCACATTTATCACCCACTTCATGTTCCTTTTGCATTTCTCTCATCTCATCAACATACAAGTTTACTTCTCTAAACTTTCTATTATCTTCCCAAATTTTTCCTAAATCACGCTGAGAGCTTACTAACACAAACATATGTCTCTTATTTTGATACAGTCTGAAAGGTTTTTTTTACACCTTTTCCGTCAGCAAGCTTTCTGATATCATCAAGACATACCTTTGT